TTGGTTGTGTACTCTGTGAGTAGGGCCATGTACCCAACATTGCAGCCCAGACTAAACGCTACATAGGCAAACCCGAGTGGGACCCAGTGGCAAAACAGTCGACCATACACTTTTACCACGACGTAGGCATTCGTTTTGGGACTGGAAGGCATGGTCGTGCCGTGAGGGCGTGATCACTTTTAATACTGTACATGAAACTACACTAGGATTGGCGGCGTTTCATGGAAACGGTTTCGCTCCAAGGACTGGCTGGACCAGAATGGATATGTCACAGCTTTTTCCAAAATCTACACCTCTGAAACGTTTTACGTTTCAGAGGCTTACAGTAAGTGTTGTGGTGGGTGACTTCATCCAAGCCCCGCCATGGCACAGGTGCCGGCCGTTAACCGATGGCCGACGCTTGGTGAACAGGTGTAGTATACTACATAGTAGTAGTAAATAGTAACGTAAACCTTCAATATACTAGGCCACCAGGCCAAATACGCACGAAGTTTTTGCTCACTGTCAAATAGAGCAATATATTCGAAATCGCTCTCAATATATTTCGCATTTATTGCATTTGATGATCAAATATATTAATAGTCGACTATCATGTGTTGGGAGTAGGTAAAAGTGCTTGAAATAACCTTTCCAACAATACCATACCATATGTCCTTGCAGGCTTGGTGTCAGCGAAACTTGATGAGTGGGCCATGATGGGTTCAGTGGTATTGGAGTTCAGGGTTGATGCTTGCAACACGGGACTCTTTTTGAGTCCCGTGTTGAAAACGTGACACTGGACCACTGAACCCATCCGGTTTACGGATAAATCAGCCAATCAAACGTAATTCGTTCACAGTCAGTGTTGAATTGTTCAGTAGAGAGGTTTCGCAACTTGCGTATTTCCCATTCCCATAGCATTATCCGGTTGTCTGGGAAATGGAGTGGGAGACCAAATATAGTCGTTTCGCAACTCGACTCCCATAAGCAAAACTATTAATAGAACACAAGTCCAATGGGCGTGTTATTGAAGTTCTCGCCAACATGACTACAGAGGAGCATGCTCGGTCGTATTCTACTTACAAGTGCCAAGGAAGCGTACCCAACGACAGTGGAGATTCTGCGCAGTCGTGAGCCGTCGCCAACTTTGGCGCAAATCATGGACCGCTTACCGTCCAAGGAAAGCGAAACGAAACGTGCGATGCCACTCAAGCGCA